TTAGGCTACGTTTTGCTTATTTGACATAAATGCATTATATGAGACTCACGTTTCAGAAGATACAAAAAAACGTGAGTTGCAGTCCGGAAATACAGTATAGCAAATTATTTTGCAGACCCACTGGCTTTGAGTCACGGACCCCAGACCACGAAAACCCCTGGTATAGAGGACACATACACATTAAGAATAGGCTATAGTAACAAATCTGGGCAAACTAGGCAGCAATCAGAGGCCACATTTTTATGATGTCAGCATGTAGACTTACAATATTTTACAGTATTTTAAAAATACAAAACACTAATTATTTTGATACAAAATATGAAGCCATTTTCATCAACCCTGTCAAATACAAATTACAAAATATATTTGTTTTATATTTGAAATACGTATTTGAAATAGATGAATAAATGAATAAATACTGCCCATCCCTGGTCTTGAATAGGCAGATGTCCGTAGATATACAGTATCTCGTCTGTGTAGTGATGCAGTGGATGTGTGATGTGCTGACAATACTTGTATAGGCCTAATTTGTGGGATTTGTGATATGTGTGTGGTTCTATAATAAACATATAAAGCGAAATTATTTTCATTATAATATCATGTGATTATATGTTTAAATTATGCGTGACTATTCCTAAACACATCTTGTGTGAGATGTGATTGTTGTCAATTTAAAAAAAATAAAAAATAAAAAATAAATCCAAAATATTTGTATTAAAAATGTATGATAAATGCATTTTTCAATTGGAACTAAATAGCAAGTACTTTGAGTGTCTTGTTCATCATATTTATTTCCATATTAAAGGTGCAATAGGTGGGTGTCTTCAGAAACATTTTTTGTTATGCTGGTTGAAAGTCTCTTCACATCCCAATAGCAATCATTAAGTTAAGTGGTCTAAATGTATTTGTCTGTATTTATATATTCTGTAGAAGGCATAGGATCAAGAAATGTTCGTCCAATCAAAACGTTCGGTCCGAGCATTTTAATATGCTTTCCTACCTGCCTGTCAACGTATGTATTAGCATACCTCTGCGCACCCGACTATTCCTAAACACATCTTGTGTGAGATGTGATTGTTGTCAATTAAAAAAAAATAAAAAATAAAAAATAAAAAATAAATCCAAAATATTTGTATTAAAAATGTATGATAAATGCATTTTTCAATTGGAACTAAATAGCAAGTACTTTGAGTGTCTTGTTCATCATATTTATTTCCATATTAAAGGTGCAATAGGTGATTGTCTTCAGAAACATTTTTTGTTATGCTGGTTGAAAGTCTCTTCACATCCCAATAGCAATCATTAAGTTAAGTGGTCTAAATGTATTTGTCTGTATTTATATATTCTGTAGAAGGCATAGGATCAAGAAATGTTCGTCCAATCAAAACGTTCGGTCCGAGCGTTTTAATATGCTGTCCTACCTGCCTGTCAACATATGTATCTGCATACCTCTGCGCACCCGGTTCGCGCAGACAGGATACGTCATCAGCGCGTTCACGCACGCTGTGCAGACAGAGCGAGAATGGCAGACAAACATACTTTCTCTTTCACTTTCACATGATGTAGCCCAGCGGTTAATCCAGTCCTCGCGCCAGCTCGTTAGAAGTGAGCTACGTGCATGAACTGTGTTCCGATCGATATGATCCCTACACAGTGTTCATTGCTCCCTACTCCCTGAGCAGGGGAAATCCGTTGAAGTTTACTTCACTTCGGAACATGGGCTGGAATTGGGAACCGCTGATGTAGCCTATTGTAGTAATGTTGTCTCCGGTCTGTGAGTGTAAATGCGTTCAGGGGGCGTGGCTTTGGACGGCGATTGCGGGGAGGGTGGGACGTTCGCTTTCAGTGCTATCAGGCTAAAGTTAGCATTTTCCAAGATCTCCTACTGCACCTTTAAAGCAACGTTAATTATTTATTTTTTATCAGCAACACAGCGCATGAGTGAGAATAACACGATATCCGCCTTTGATCAAGTAGGTATCTGCTCAACTTCGAGAGGGCAGAACTGCGTCTTGACTGCGTTTATTTCACTCCTCCCCTCACTGCAGCCGCCTACTGTCGCCTACATTTCAGACGAGGCGCATCTCAAACAAACCTTAAAGGGGTCATATGATGCGATTTTCAATTTTTCCTTTCTCTTTGGAGTGTTACAAGCTCTTGGTGCATAAAGAAGATGTGCATCTTGGCTAGAGCCTTATCTGTCTGAACTCGTGAGACTCTCTGTAGCCTACTCAGCAGACACAATAACCAGAATAAACAGAACGAAAGAACTATTATAATGAAATAAAATAATGAAATAATGAAATTAAAATATTGGAGTGTCTATTTACACTTAGTGCAAATAGCCCGCCTTGTTGGCAGAGGCTATTGACACTAACTCCACCCACCAATGTGTGAGTGAGAATCATCAGCTCCAGCGGCGCAGATAGTAAAGTGTGTGCCATGGTCTTTTTGACACGATCGAGCTGGGTTTGAAACCACCTTCTGTCTAACTTTTTTCTCCCTTTTCAAATCTCGTATCACATCGTAAAGGCATTTATTAAAAAAATAATAATAATAAGGAAATAATCAAAAAGTTGAAAATAAAGTATCGGATAGGGTTAGGGTAGGTGTTGGGAGGGCTTTATTGTACCAATAAAGCATCCATTTAATAATTTTAATTAAAATTATAATTTACACTCAATACATTATTATTGCTTACTGTTTTATAATGTACTACAATACTGAAGTGCAGATAATTGCCACTATTTGCAACAAGTAGTATACTTGATAGTAGAAATCCTGCTATTTTAACATAGTGTAAATAGGTATTTGCACTTACACCTCGCTTTTTCAGACCGATGAGCTTTGTAAAAATCGACGCGTTTCAAAAAGGCAGGGCATAGAGGAGAAACAATAATGTACAGTATGTGGAAAATAATGTGTTTTTTGAACTTTAAACCACATAAACACATTTCATTACACCAAATACACCAAATAATGTTCTTTTTAGCAGCATCATATGACCCCTTTAAGGCTAGGTGCATCTTGGCTAGAGCCTTATCTGTCTGAACTCGTGAGACTCTCTGTAGCCTACTCAGCAGACACAATAACCAGAATAAACAGAACGAAAGAACTATTATAATGAAATAAAATAATGAAATAATGAAATTAAAATATTGGAGTGTCTATTTACACTTAGTGCAAATAGCCCGCCTTGTTGGCAGAGGCTATTGACACTAACTCCACCCACCAATGTGTGAGTGAGAATCATCAGCTCCAGCGGCGCAGATAGTAAAGTGTGTGCCATGGTCTTTTTGACACGATCGAGCTGGGTTTGAAACCACCTTCTGTCTAACTTTTTTCTCCCTTTTCAAATCTCGTATCACATCGTAAAGGCATTTATTTTCAATAAAAATTAAGGAAATAATCAAAAAGTTGAAAATAAAGTATCGGATAGGGTTAGGGTAGGTGTTGGGAGGGCTTTATTGTACCAATAAAGCATCCATTTAATAATTTTAATTAAAATTATAATTTACACTCAATACATTATTATTGCTTACTGTTTTATAATGTACTACAATACTGAAGTGCAGATAATTGCCACTATTTGCAACAAGTAGTATAAATAGCAGAAAATCCTGCTATTTTAACATAGTGTAAATAGAATCTATAGCTATTTGCACTTAGTGTAAATAGCATCTATCGCTAAGAAAATATGCTATTTTCACTTAGTGTATATAGCGTCTATCGCTAAGAAAATATGCTATTTTCACTTAGTGTAAATAGCCTCTATCGCTATTTTACACTTAGTGCAAATAGCCGATGCCTTAAAATAAACATAGACTTTTGCACACTTTGGGTTTTAGTATGGTCATGAACACCAAGAACGATAACTATAAAGATAACTATAAAGACAATGATATTAGCATCCACACCATTGAACAATATCATCTGTAAGCGCACGCTCATCTGCCTCTTTAAATTCTCAAGCTCATTATAGCAGGATTGATTCTGATTGGCTGTCAATGTTTGTATTGTTCGTCAGATGGAAAAAAATCGTTCTGAAAGTGATTCCAACGATATCGTTTCTGTCACAGTCTTCAGCGGGTGTGCCCAGGATGGCCACCAGATCTAACTATAGTTATCCTCCTAGGTGTGAACGGGCCTTTACATGATTTTGTTCAGGAAAACTCTGTTACAGAAAACTTTGAAGTCTGACAAGACCATTGTCACATTCATAAAAGATCATAAAATGCTGGATTGGTTGGAAGAGGTTAAACTAGGTAAACTGAATGTGGACTTCAAAGATGAAGACAAAAGGTGTGTTTGACTTCATGCTACGCTGCGCAGACCGATTGGCGAGAGTTGGCACTTGCAGCCGGGGGTTGACGGACACATCAAGTCGGACACATTCTGTTCCCTGTAGTGACACTCGCACGGAGTTTGCATACTCCATCACAGATGAAGTGAATTAAATGCTATATTTGTCAAATACACAGACATTTCAGAAATGTTTTCATGAGCAACAGAAACACTTCACATCTTGGAGATGTTGCCACAGGTCTTCTGGATTTAGTCTGTCTCAGTTTGTTCTGTTTCTTCTATGTGACAGTGACGTGGCATCGGCGCTGTCTCAAGTCGGACAAAATTTCTAATCGCCATGCACTGCTTCAAGTCAGCCTCCGATCAGTCTGTGCAGCGCTGCATGAAGTTGAACACATGTATTGTGATTAGTGGCCCAAGGTTTTATGTCTCTGAATTTGTGCCTAATGTGCTAATTATTAGCTCTGAGATTGAAAAGACTCTCCTTTCTCAAAGCCTCTGAAGCAAGGAATCAATTAATTTTGGAATCAACTCCCAGCCCAATTTAACACAAACACAATACCCAGGCTTCATAAATGTTAAGTGTTAAATGATACTCCTGAAATGAATTAAAATGAAATTAATTCTACATATATTTTTGAAAGATCTTATGAAATAAGATCACTTTGAAAAGTGAATGATGTTTTTATATTCAGGTGAACCACAGAGTGAAGAAAAAGAGAAGTTTGAGCCACCTGAGGAAACAAAAGAAGATACAACCCCTAGATCAGTTGTAATTGAAAACATCCAAAACAATGGTCAAGAGTTTCTCACAATGCTGGTGGAAAATGTGCTGAAAGGATCTTCTGTTGAGTCAAAGGACTTCAGCATTGAAACAGTACCAGAGACCAACTGTGCTGTGGTGACATTTTCCGGCATTTCCCGCAAGGGTAATAGGTTCCCCTAATAATCTTCAGAAGTACTTGCAAAATATTAGCCTCTTACTGAGTGTTGTTCACCTTGGGCTTACTTCCTGTTACTTATATCTCATTCCATAGATGCAGAACAGTTCCTTTTATCCTCTCCAAGCAATGGAATAATTAAGAAGAAAAACATGAAAGTCCGATTGCTTGAGATGACTTCAAAGGTGAAAGCTGAAGGCTTACCTCCAAACTCAAACTCTGACTTAGCAACTGTGCTGTGGTGACATTTTCCGGCATTTCCCGCAAGGGTAATAGGTTCCCCTAATAGAATGTACTCTTCAGAAGTACTTGCAAAATATTAGCCTCTTACTGAGTGTTGTTCACCTTGGGCTTACTTCCTGTTACTTATATCTCATTCCATAGATGCAGAACAGTTCCTTTTATCCTCTCCAAGCAATGGAATAATTAAGAAGAAAAACATGAAAGTCCGATTGCTTGAGATGACTTCAAAGGTGAAAGCTGAAGGCTTACCTCCAAACTCAAACTCTGACTTAATCATGCTCTATTTTGACAAATTTGCAGAAGTAGAGGATGATGGGGTAGCATTTGAAACAGATCAGTCAGCAATAATCACTTTTAAAAATCCTGAAGGTACATAAATTAGTTACATTTTTGATTTCTTTCTTGAATTTAATTTTGATAAATGCATAAACTAAACAATGTGTGCTTTTTCAGATGTGCAAAAAGTCCTCAAAGAGCAACATCTGCTTAAAAAACAGCCTTTCAGAGTACTGCCATACTATGAAACACTACAAACAGCTCTATATGGTAAAGACAGACCCACCATGACACTTCCAGAGGCATTTATTGAGAAGATTGATAGAACTGTATGGCACCACTTAAAGGAAAACAGGAAATCTCTGGATTTAGTCAGGCAAGCTATGTCCGGTCATTTTTGTGAGATGGATTTTCAATCCTCAGCAGTGAAGATCAGTCCTTCTCAATCCCTACTTAACAATGGTGCGCAGACAAGAAAACTCATTCAGACATGGAGAGAAAATGCCCTCTCTGTGTTCTTAGCATCAATGTCTAAGTTTAAATCTACTGAGCTCCAAATTCCGAAGCATGCATGGACAGACATACAACCTGAAATTGAAAAAGCAGAAGTGGGAGAGGCTGTCACACTGGTTCCCTATATGGATGAAGGAACAATAGCTGTAGCCGGCCTAAAAGAAGATGTGAACAGGATTGAGGGAATCCTGAAAGAAACTGTTGAGAAAATGACCCAAAGAATTCAAAGAGAGACAGGCAGTAAGACAGATGAAATCAATATGACTCCATCCATTTACAAGCTTGTTCTCTGTGATGGTCTGGAGCAGCAAATTTGTGACAAATTTCCAGAAATGAACATTACATACAATGTACACAGCCGAAAGTTAACCTTCTACGGTCTCAAATATGAGGTGCTGGAAACAAAGAATAAGATACTGCAGGCTGTTCTTAATTTGATTCGTAAACCAGTTGAGCTCCACCAGTCTGTTTTAGATTTTCTGCACACAAAGGATGTAGAGGAAATGACCAGTGATTTGCTTTCTAACAAAGGAATCAATGTGGCGTTAGAAGCTGATGGAAAGAGAGTTTGGCTTGTTGGGAAAACAGACGAGGCCTTGAATGTTGGTGAGAAGCAACTGCAGACAGATCTGGGTCATCTGAGCTTCAATTTAGAAGATCCCAGTGTTCTAGGAAAATCAGACTGGCATGACCTTGTCTCTCGCATAAAAAACACTGTCACAAATGTTACAGTACAGATAACTGTCAACCAGGTGGTGATTTCTGGCTTTGTAGATTGCATTAATGACGTTGAACAAGAGTTATCTAATTTTGTTCAGGAAAACTCTCACTTTGAGAGAACTCTGAAATCTCACAAGACCGTTGTCACATTCTTAAAGGATTATAAAAAGCAGGATTGGTCTGAAGAGGTGAAAGGTAAAGTGAATGTGGACTTCAAAGATGAAGACATTGTGATCAGTGGCTCAAGGCTTTATGTCTCTAAGTGTGTGCCTTTATTTGAGGGCTTGCTTAGCTCTGCACATCACTGCACCATGAAAATAGTTAAACCAGGGGCAAAGAAGTTTTTCAAGGAGAAAGAGTTAATGTGGGTTGCATATGCCAAGACAAATATGAATTGTTTGGTCCAGTTACTAGATGAGTATGACCACCCACATGACACAGTTCAATCACGGATAATAAAACCTATTTATGAATATAAAACACATGAAGGAATGGAGATCACGGTAAACAAAGCTGACATGTGTTCATTTCTAGTGGAGATTCGTAAACCAGTTGAGCTCCACCAGTCTGTTTTAGATTTTCTGCACACAAAGGATGTAGAGGAAATGACCAGTGATTTGCTTTTTAACAAAGGAATCAATGTGGCGTTAGAAGCTGATGGAAAGAGAGTTTGGCTTGTCGGGAAAACAGACGAGGCCTTGAATGTTGGTGAGAAGCAACTGCAGACAGATCTGGGTCATCTGAGCTTCAATTTAGAAGATCCCAGTGTTCTAGGAAAATCAGACTGGCATGACCTTGTCTCTCGCATAAAAAACACTGTCACAAATGTTACAGTACAGATAACTGTCAACCAGGTGGTGATTTCTGGCTTTGTAGATTGCATTAATGACGTTGAACAAGAGTTATCTAATTTTGTTCAGGAAAACTCTCACTTTGAGAGAACTCTGAAATCTCACAAGACCGTTGTCACATTCTTAAAGGATTATAAAAAGCAGGATTGGTCTGAAGAGGTGAAAGGTAAAGTGAATGTGGACTTCAAAGATGAAGACATTGTGATCAGTGGCTCAAGGCTTTATGTCTCTAAGTGTGTGCCTTTATTTGAGGGCTTGCTTAGCTCTGCACATCACTGCACCATGAAAATAGTTAAACCAGGGGCAAAGAAGTTTTTCAAGGAGAAAGAGTTAATGTGGGTTGCATATGCCAAGACAAATATGAATTGTTTGGTCCAGTTACTAGATGAGTATGACCACCCACATGACACAGTTCAATCACGGATAATAAAACCTATTTATGAATATAAAACACATGAAGGAATGGAGATCACGGTAAACAAAGCTGACATGTGTTCATTTCTAGTGGATGCAGTGGTCGGTGTGTGCAAAGAGACCCTCCTACTTGATGGAGGTTTAGCAAAGGCCCTCTCAGATGCTGCTGGTCCTAAATGTCAGGATGCCTTTAAACAGATTGTCAAACGGCAGAAGCTGCCAACAAAGAAAACTGAAGCTGCAGTGAAGATAGTTTATGGGGTCAGTGCGCTTACTCATAGCATGATATCTGGAAGAAGTTCAAGCAGCCAGCAGCAAAACCAAAACCAAGCAAGTTCTTCTCCAAGCCAACACCAGACAACCGCACACTTTCAAGGAGCATCACAAAGTTTTCAGACAAAAGAAGGTTTAACAATAACCCTTATGAAAGGAAACATTGAGGACACAACAGTGAGTTTAATATTATCATACATAATATTATTCGGTGTCTTACTTTTGCCTGAAGCTGAAGTTTTTTTTTGTTTTGTTTTTTTTAATATCACAATTTCTAGAGATGTACTTGAGAAGGGTTGGTGGTTGTTTATGTTTTTTCATCTCCAAAAGTTTCAAAGGGCCCTCTGCCTTTTTAGATTTTTATGTTAGTTTTAAGTAAAATATTGGCACATGATTTGAGCTGACTAAACATCTATAAATATCTGGGGTTTTTTTTGTACAGATGGACATTGTTGTGAACACTCTCAGCAGTGACCTGAATTTCAGCGTAGGCGCGATTTCAGATGCGCTTCTCAAAGCAGCTGGTCCTCAGCTTCAGGTTCTGCTCAATCAGCAAGTCACAGGCTCTGCCAACAATGGAGCAGTCTTTAAAACAGCCGGTGCGAACCTGAAGAACAAACTGGTGTTCCATGCAGTTGTACCCCACTGGAATCAGGGGCAAGGGAATGAGCAGAAGGTAATACTCATTGATTGATTTTTGGTGATTAGTAGCTAAAAAGTCTGATGCTTTTCATGGCATTTTTATTCTCTTTGAGCAGGTGCTGGAGGATATCATGGATAAGTGTTTGGGTCTGGCGGAGCAGCATCAGCAGAGCTCCATTGTATTCTCTGCCATTGGCACAGGAAACCTGGGGTTCACATGATTTGAGCTGACTAAACATCTATAAATATCTGGGGGGTTTTTTGTACAGATGGACATTGTTGTGAACACTCTCGGCAGTGACCTGAATTTCAGCGTAGGCGCGATTTCAGATGCGCTTCTCAAAGCAGCTGGTCCTCAGCTTCAGGTTCTGCTCAATCAGCAAGTCACAGGCTCTGCCAACAATGGAGCAGTCTTTAAAACAGCCGGTGCGAACCTGAAGAACAAACTGGTGTTCCATGCAGTTGTACCCCACTGGAATCAGGGGCAAGGGAATGAGCAGAAGGTAATACTCATTGATTGATTTTTGGTGATTAGTAGCTAAAAAGTCTGATGCTTTTCATGGCATTTTTATTCTCTTTGAGCAGGTGCTGGAGGATATCATGGATAAGTGTTTGGGTCTGGCGGAGCAGCAGCAGCAGAGCTCCATTGTATTCTCTGCCATTGGCACAGGAAACCTGGGGTTTCCAAAGCCATTGGTGGTCTGCACTATGCTGGACTCAGCATTCAAGTTTAGCAGTAAAAGAAGTTCAAAGCATATGCAGGAAGTGGTATTTGTTCTTCACCCCAAAGATACCCAAACCATTCAGGTAGCTGATGTATGATGTCATATCAGTCTTTTTTAGATCCATATGGAATTCCACATCTGCAGATTTTTGACACAGTACAATACTAATGAGTTATTTTCACCTCAGCAATACTATATGTCATCCGCAACAGGTATTCACAGATGAGTTTAGCAAGAGGTTTTTGGGCCAGTCTGCCTCAGCAAGTAACCCCACACAGCCACAGAGCACAGGTGCTCAAACTATACTTATTATCCAAACCATTTGTGGAATCAGTTTTAACTAACTAATCTCACTGTCTTTTAGTGGATGAATAAAGTCAGCCAATTTCTCTTGATAGTATACCTTTCCATAATGTTTATTTAGTTCTGTTGTATTTTACAATGAAATTACAGGCCCCTTCTCAAAGGTCAGAACGGAATCTGGGATTCATGAGACTACCGTGGGAGGAGTAACTCTTCAGGTCCTTAATGGTGATATTACTTTAGAGAAAACTGATGTCATTGTGAACTCCAGCAATACAGAGTTTACAGCGAAATCAGGTAAAGTGACTAATTCTGAATAAGCAGAAGACTGTTAATGCTTTTTATACTCTGACTTTTGCTTTATTTTATAAGATAGGAATGGTTAAGCTAAGAGTTGAGACAGAAAATAAAACAATTTTTATCTCAAATGGTTAAGGTGTCTCAAAGGCTATTTTGGATAAGGCTGGTCCAAACGTAGAAACTGAGTGCCAGCAACACAGTAAGAAGAATGTTTTAATTTCTAAACTAAAATATTTAATAAGAATGAAGTAATAAATAAGTTAAATATTAATGAATCATTTAATAATATTTTCACATGCTCTAAAACTTTAACTTTATAATTCTACTTCATGTGTGTTGCCAGGGACCAAGACTAAGAGTGGACTGATAATGACTCAAGCCGGGAATTTGCAGTGTAAAAAGATCATCCACATTTCAGCACAAAGTAATGCTGTTATGATCAAAAAACATGTTAAAAAGGCTCTGGAAATATGTGCCAAGGAAAAGTTCACTTCCATTGCATTCCCAGCTGTTGGTACAGGTGAGAACAAACTCAAGAAGAAGAAGAAAAAGAAAAATACGCCTGAGAGGGAAAGTGATAGTGTTGTTAATCTTTATGTTAAAAAAATGACTGTCCTGTCAGCGCCGATAGCCTCATGGGCAGTGTGCCAAAATATGACGCTGTTGCGTTACGGGCGTCCTGAGTTCGAATCCTGGCTCAATGACCTTTCCCGATCCCACACCCCCCTCTCTCTCTCTCTCTC